GCAGGCATCCCGCTCTCGACCACCCACTGCCAGGTCGGCGCCACCACCGGCGTCGCGCTCCTCGAGGGCGGCCGCGGCGTCAACAAGTGGGTCCTCGGCAAGACCGCCTTCGGCTGGATCATCACCCTCATCATCGCCGGCATCCTCGCCGGCATCCTCACCGGCCAGGGCATCCGCGCGCCCCTCGGCGGCGCCATCAACATCGCCGGCTGCTCGCCCAAAGTGTGGACCGACGACCACCCGTCCGAATGGTGCGACACGACCGACCCCACCTGCGACTACGAGGGCACGCTCCCCGACCCCAACTGCTACATCGACTCGCCGCAGTACATCTTCCTCGACCGCGAGTGCCCCACCTTCATCGCGAACGGCCCCCCAGCGCCGCCGCCGCCGCCGCCGCTGTCGTAAAGGGATCGACGGGAGACTGCATGCCGCCGGCATAAGACCAAAGTCCTCGACGCATGCGAGCCTTCTCGTAGGCTAGCACACGCACAGGCGCGGTTAGTCGCGCACCATAGGAGACACAGACAGTGATCGAGGTGTGTGTTCGGGTCGTTGGTTTTGTTAAATACGTTCTGCTCCAGGACCCTCGACCCTGTGGGGAGGGACAAAAAGTGTCGCCGCCGGAGACGACTTGACGCCGCTGAGATCGGAGATCAAGCTCTGACAGGTCGCACGTCGCTCTCCTTTCACGTCGACCTTTGACGCCGAGACGTGACTCACCCGTGCAGAGCGCATCAGGACACGGTCTCGACGCGGCACGCGCTCGGTACGACGCCTGCGACCCGTCTCGGGTCTCGGGTCAGGTGGCACGACGCTCATCGCGCCTGCCAGCGCTGCCGTGCAGGCTGCCACGACGAGGTCGAGCACGCTTCTATACGCTCGCCCAGCCTTCCTTTCCATCCCATTAGGCAGCCTGGGAACGGTGGCGGTCAGAGGCAAAGCCTGCGAGGGGTGGTGGAACCACATGTCACGGCCACCGCCGGCTCGAGCAGGCTCGACCCTACGATAGCCTCCGAAGGCTGACTTTGAGGCACCATCATCGGACGATGTCGACGAGTTGGATCGCTCTCGCGGTAGCCAGATGACCTCCCATACTTGTATCATCGGGCAGGGCCGCAGGAAGCGCGGGGGAGGGCGCTGGGAGCAACACGGAGCTCCGTTGGACGCGTTTTCAAGATCAGCGTGTCAGAGTGAATTGGAACTAGCCCCAGCCCTCCGCGCACGAAGTTTAGTACTGCGCAAACGGAAGGCGAAGGGGGGCGAAAGCGACCGAGAGCGAGACACAGACGGGCCGAGCTGGACCTAAAGCTCCCGCGTCACGCTCACGGGGCCGATCCGGCGATCGCCGATCGGCTTCCCGGCGGCAGCGGGCTGCGGCTGGCGCGTGGCGCTGGCGGCGGCGGCGGGCAGTCCCAGTCGCACTGCCAAGAGCGCGCGCACTGGAGGCTGAGGTGAACCCGGCGGCGGCGGGCGCGGCGCTGCGGCGCTGTTCGCTGCGGCAGTGCGGGGCGAGACGCGATATAACGGGATAAGTACGAGGGTGGGGAGGTTGACTGAGCGGCTCCGACGTTCTCGACATTCTGACTGCGAGTGTATAAGTAATAAGACCGCATGGCGCTGCCAGGCGACTCTTCTTGTTCATTTTCTCGTGTCATGGGCGGGGAACGCACATGCTGCGGCCCTCCGAGTCGCGGCGTGTACACGTTTTATATTTGCTCGCTTTGCTTCCCTGGTTCTCCGTGTTTGACTGTCACACTGTCGTGCTTTTCGGGCCCGGGGCTGCGGGCTGTGGCTTTTGTATGAACGCACAGAGACAGAGGCGAGTGACTGGGACAGTAGTCATTGCACACTAGCTAGTCACTGCTGTCAGTCGCTAGCTAGCTATACACAGTATAGCGCAGGCAGAGAGTGAGTGAGGTAGCAACCCACCTCATGCAGGACGGCGCTGGAGACGGCTTTGGCGCCAAGAATTTCACGGTGACTGTTTGAGAGGGGCGCTCGAGGTTGGGTGGCGAGAAAGAAAATCAGAATAAACCCAAACAATGCGGAAAAGAAATCGCGAATTCGAAAACCTCTGGTCGCCTCGGAGTCGGGACTCGGTTGACGGCCACCCAAGTGCTTGGCTCGTGCCAAGCCGACCGGCAGGCGATTCCCAGTCACTGCTAGGCTAATCTCGGGCTGTCCTGCGTCAGTGTGGTGCCGTGAGGGGCGCCGCCCCCAAAACTACGATCGTTAGTACCGTGCGGGGCGGGGGGCAGTGCATTTAATTCTGTCAAAAATCCAAATCTGCTCCGTGGCGCTTATTGGGCTAGGATCATACGTCCGGGAGGCCCCCCATGCGTGTGCCGTAACGATCGACAGCGATCTGGCTACTCTGTTCACGTTCACACCTCGTAAACCCCCCATAACCCCGATACAGGAGGTACTAAGGTGGGTCCAGCAGGGGCACTCTCGTCGCCCTTCCGAGGTGGATGGGCAACTGCTTCGCCTCTGGCGGAGCCGGCGTTGGTTACGCCGCCGCTGAAGGCAAGTCGGAGAGCGCCACCCTCAGCGAGGCCGGCCTCACCGTCGATGACCTTCGGCATGCTCCGGAGCACGCGGCGCTCAACAGCGAGGCGATCGACACAGAACTCGACACGACCCAACCGCTCGCACACTACCTCATCTCCTCCTCGCACAACACGTACATGAAGGGTGGCCAATTCACCTTCACCGGCGGCGACGTCGACCACACCATGTACGCCACAGTCATAGAGGGAGGCTGCCGCTGCGTGGAGATAGACGTGTACGACGCCACGCCGGCGTCGAGCGATGACTGCGAGGTCTACCACGGCAACGAGACGCTGTCGGGCGGCTCGCTCTCGCTGCGCACAGTGATGGCCACCATTGCCGGCGCGCTGCCCGCAAACCACCTTCCACTGATCCTCAACTGCGAGAACCATCTGGACGGCGAGGCGGGCGGAGACACGTTCGCA